GATGGGCATGTGGGGCTGCTGGTGGGCTGGTCACATCCCCGGGGCGGGCAGCCCCCTATATCAGCCGGGCTGGTGGGGGAGCGCTGGCAGAGTGTGACCGTGACGTCCCCCGGCCCCTCGCCCACTCTCTCCAGCCATGGATGACATTTATAAGGCAGCGGTAAGTGCCTCCCTTTGAGGCTCTGGTTTTGGGGGGATTAAAGGGTGTTTCAGGGATTTTATAGTAGATTTTCTGTAGCTGTGGTGGAGTAAATTCCATGGAGAAATGCAAATAAGAAATAATTATAGGGTGGCATCTTTAGTCAACATCCTTATCCAGGACACAGACCTTTCTCACTGATGACTCTGAGGTTTCACACTCCTCTTGTAAGCGTGAAACTCTCAACTGTGCTGCTAAATGATTTACAATGACTCCCCTGGTTCCTCACTGGAAGGCAGGGAGATGGCCTGTAGGTAAAGCTATAAATCTGAACAAAATCTTGAAAGTATAAGAGGTGGCTACTGGTTTTAGCCAAGACAAAACAGAGCAGCATTTCCCTCAAAATGAAGATTATTTGTGTGGGTTAAACCTCACCCTCTTCTTTCTGGTGCTTTGTAAGTCTGCTGTTGCCATTGCTACATTTCCCCCTTCCTCAGCTGAATATTCTGGGATATTTTAAAAAAAAAAACAAACAAAACAAACCCTGCACTTTTTAAAGCTATTTCCAAACATCCTCCTCTGCTTTGCTGCTCCTGATATCTGCTCTGCAGAAATCCAGAATGTGAGCTATGCTCCTGGGGAACGCAGAGCATCCTAACGGCTATTTTAACTTACACAGCTGCACGCTGCGCTCACTGTGCAACTCCAAACTATTTGGGCTGTAATAAGGACACTGCATTATTTTGTAACCTAGACAGGTGGAATAAGGGTGAAAATAGATTCTGGATTGTGTGGATCACTACTGTCCCCCTTCCATAACTGGAGTTAAAATAAAAGCTTTTTGATGATTTAAAAAAAAAAAAAATAATAAAAATTATCAGGTTTGATTAAGGGCACAAAAAATACATCATACAAGTCATATTTTAATTCCAAGGTTTTTAAAGGGAAGAAAGATATTGCTTGGTACATAACTGAAGAAGACAACAAAATGCTTACACTTCTCCTGTCCTTTGGTCAGCCCTGAACCTCGTGAAATGGAAACCTCGTAGTGATCCCAATAGTGTGAAAAGTCTTAGAAAAGGCTCTACAATATAGTGCTGAGTCCCCCAGCTAACACCTCAAAAAGGGAGAAAAATGTGACCTGTAAAATCAAAGTCCAGGCGTCTCTAATTAAGCTTTTTAATTAAATATATTCTCTGTGCCTCAAGGCACAGGTCCTCTCCTTATTGTTTAGGAGCCTCATGCCCATAATTAGGGAGAAAGCTGAAGTGCTTTGCAAGCTGGTTATGCCCACAGCCAAAAGGGTCTGTCCATCAGCTGGGGCAGTGTGGTGGAGAGCCCCAAAAAGAAAGGGTTCCCCACCCACAAGCTCCAGCCTCTCTCCTAATCTCGGCCCCAGAAAGGGTCGAAAATCCACAGGTGGAGGTTCTCCCTAGCCAAAGCCTGTGGGCTTTAGTAGAGCTGGACCACAGAGGAATTTATCTGAGAAAAAGGAACTGCAGCAATAGAGAACAACCCAGAAATTCCTACCTCAGATACCAAAACCTTATCCCTGGTCCAGGGAAATGGGCCACGCAAAAGACTTGATGGGCTCCCATGAGGATTTTGCTGCTGGTTTGAAGGTGAGGGCATGCTGGTAAATGTGGGTCTCGAGTCCTGGGCACTAACTGCCAGCAACTTTACAAGACAAAACAGCTCCAGGCCAGGCACAGCTGAGACAAACAGCTTTTTCATGAATCAGTTCCCTGAGATTTTAACTGTAAGAAAACATTTACCTGGAAAAGAAATTAAGAACTTCAGCTTCCCTTGTCTGACTTCAAATGGAAACATGTTCTGAAGACAAGAGCTGATAAAAGCAAAATACAGCAGATTTGGCATTACCAGGGGCACCGCAGGGCTGTGAGCTTAGTCCTTCCCACACTGTAGCCAGAGAAACCTGTCCCTGAAAGGATGTGAAGGGAAAAAAAAGGAATAAAGCCACCAACAGCACCTGTGTCCAGAGAGGGCACAATAAACAAACAGCTCAAGAGGCATCTCTGTAATAAAAGTGTCACTCTATAGTTACAATGCATTTAAATTACATACACCTCAGCTCCATGTCTGTCATTCTGGTAGTCAAGGAAGCTTCAAAAGTGGATATTTTCTTTATTTGGTGCATGCTGATGGCATGTATTAGTATTATACTTATGGCCAATTCCCTACGTGCAGCCAGAGAACCCAATGGATTTTCATCTTGCCCACTCATGCCTAGATAAGGGTGTGCAAACACAAAGCTATTTCGGGAACATTTTCAGGCTAAGAACAGTGCCAGGGACAAGTGTCCAGATAAAGGGCTGCAAGGATAAATACCAAAGCCTGGGAACAATCAGGGAGCTCATCTTTATCTCCAACACCTCTCTCACCAGGGCTTATAAATAGCGAATGCATCAAAAGGCTCAAGTTACCCAAGCAGCAGGATGGTCACCACTTATGTCAGCTGAGGGAACATTGTGGCTGGCCTTGCTCTGCCCAAACAATAACCACAAAAGGGCCCAAACAATAGCCACAAAGGGTCGGCAGCTGCCTGCCTGCCTGCCTTCAGTGGCACCAGGGCCACACTGAGCTTGGGTTTCCTCCTGCAATAGCAACCTGCTGCTGTCCTCAGTGCTGTCTGACTTGAAAGTCATCACCTCCTGGCGCATGGGGAGTGGGAGAAGGCTCTTTGCCCGCTTCCCACAGGCTCTGCCCCGCTAAGAAAAAGCACTTTCCCTGCCTCTTGCTACAAGCAGGATGGATTTCCAGCTGGCTTTTGCAAAACCATTACTCTCTGAGGCAAAAGCATCAGCCTTCCCTCAAAGGCAGGGTGACACAGCCCTGGGTTGCAGGGTTCTGCCCCAACCCAAACACGACAGGAATGGGTGTTGTGGACTGCTTGCATGGGGATGGTAGTAAGGAGACATCAGTGGGGTCAGGCACCCTCTGCACGGGCCAGGGGAAGTCCTGGCAAGAGGTCTTGTCTGGCTGACTCCAGAGAGGCTGTTGACCAGCATAGGAAGAAAAAGTCTATATTTTCATGGATGCTACCAAAGGGGCAGTCAGATACGATGGTGGGGTCAGCAATCTTAGATAAACACTAGCTTCAGGCAGGAACGAAGCCAAAGAGGCAAATGCACCTAAAGAGGCACGACACAGAGCTGATGGATTCCTCTTTGATGTCCTCATTGATTATTTTCACTAATTCAAGCTAACTAATAAGCTCCTGCTGATCATCGGCAGGGAATGAATTCAAGTGAGGTTTGGGAACAGTCTGCCAGCTCATTTCAGCTCATGCCCAATGGCTCCATGGGCCATATCTTTGAGGAGATACCCAAAACAGGCTAAAGGGAATAGCAGCTCCCTTCAGAGGCAGAAAACTCTGTAATAAACACTGATTTAGATAGAAATAGACCAGCTCTCAATGCTCTGGATAGTGTAGGGAGTTTCCTGAACCTAGGGCTGAAAAGCAACTACTGGGGATGGTCTTGTCTGCCTCTCCCTCCTCAGGGACCTCTGCAGCACATCCCACCTCTGATCTGGCATCAGCCCATGCACAAGCAGCCCTCAGCAGTGCAGCCATCCCACTGTAAAGCCTGCCAGCAACAAGAAATTATCCCCAAATGGGTGGCAGAGACAAATGCTTTTCCTAGTGGGTCTCCCCTGCTTGTGCAAAGGCTACTTCTGCCGCATCTCAGATGCTGCTATGCTGGTGAAATGATGCTCCCTTCAAAGGAGTTGGGAATAAGTTTTTGTAAGGGGAAGAATCTCTTCCTACAAAAAGTTGTGATGTCAAATCCCCAGAGGCTGTACATCCCGTAGTCCATGAGGGTGACTGCTGTGAGGCTTGTTTGCCCTTTGCAAAGGCTGTTGAACCAGTGACATCACCTTTTAACCATTAGTGATGCTGAAGGAGAAAAGTGACTTGGTCTCTGTTTTTTCCTTACAGGTTGAGCAGCTGACAGAAGAACAAAAAAATGGTAAGTGCCTCTTTAACCCAACACTGCAGCCTTAAGAGGAGCTCCCCAGCCAGCAGCCCGGCCTGCCTCAGCAATTACACCCCAGAAAATACTTTGGCCAGACTGACCAAAGCGGGGAACAACCCAGGGATTTTGATCCACCAGCATTCCAAGAGCAGCAGTTTCTGTGCGTGCACCCAGGTGTCCCCACCATGCCATGCCTGAGCAGTTCTGGGGTGCGGGCCCAGGGGAGGCTGTGCCTGGGATGAGCCCCCTGCCCTGGGGCTACCCACCTGCAGGGTCGATGTGTGGGGCAAGACCCCCACATCTCCTCTCCCCTCTCTCCCCAGAGTTCAAGGCTGCTTTTGACATCTTCGTGCTGGGAGCAGAGGACGGCTGCATCAGCACCAAAGAGCTGGGGAAGGTGATGCGGATGCTGGGACAGAACCCAACCCCTGAGGAGCTGCAGGAGATGATAGACGAGGTGGATGAGGATGGTGAGAAATTTGGGTTTCTTCTGTTCTCCCAAGAACCATTCCCACGTCTGCAGGTGCAGGGGGGCACGGTGTGGGTCAGGAGTGCTCAGCACCTGCACAGCGTGGGCAGGATCTGTGCTGGGGATGGCCACAGCCTGTGGGGAGCAACCTGCAGTGCTGTGAGTTTGAAGGACACTAAACGCACCAAACTTCAGTGTGGTTCCTTTAGGAAGCTTCCAGATGAAGAGAAACTATAAAAAAATTATTATTCCTATAGTGACCAGACTACTTTGAGCTGATCTGGGGGGATTACGGGTACTCTAAAATTGCACAGATCCATTTAAAAAACAGAAAATACAGGCTGAATGTAGCAACTGCCATTTCAGTAATGCCACAATTACAGGTTCCTGTCAGCAGGGATGTCTTTCATTGCTCAAGTGTACACACACACACACACACACATATATATTAATAAGTCAATCTCCATTAAATCAGTGTAGCAGTGATCACACAGAACAAAATCCACTGTGTGCAGGTTGGGCAGAAATGCCATGCTAGGTAATCATAAAATAAAAAAGCAGTTAAAAATTAAGCAAAAAAGGGAAACAGCTGTACTGCTGGTGCAAAACATATACTGCATGAATACCTGCCTCCTGGAGCTTTTATTATTACCTAGATGAGATGGACAGGTAGCTCCATAGCAGGAATTTCCATTCATCAGTGCTTCCAGTAGGACTTTTGGTTTCTTTTGCCTTGGCAAAATGATTGCAAAATGTAAAAATTTGGTGATTAAGTCAGTCCATAGCCTTGGTCACTTACACCAGCATCCTGAAAGCTGCCTCTTGCTGCAGGGCTGTGCTCCTGAGTTTTGCTCCTTGGCTACTAAAGGGACGTGTGATCTCTCACTTGGTGTCACCTGTCGACTCACCGTAGTGCCAGCTGATGGTATTTGTTCTGCCTGCAGGCAGCGGCACTGTAGATTTTGATGAGTTCCTCGTTATGATGGTCCGGTGTATGAAAGACGACAGCAAAGGAAAAACCGAAGAGGAACTCTCAGATCTCTTCAGGATGTTTGATAAGTAAGAGCCGTGACTGCAGCACGGTGGGGTGGTGGGAGCTGCTGTGGCCCCCCTTCCCCAGCGTGTGGGTCCACTCCTGAGCTCTTCTGTCCTCGCACAGAAACGCTGATGGCTACATTGACCTCGAGGAGCTGAAAATCATGCTGCAGGCGACGGGAGAGACCATCACTGAGGACGACATAGAAGAATTGATGAAAGATGGGGATAAAAACAATGATGGCAGGATTGACTACGATGGTAGGAGTCTTTCTTGCGTGCAGTTTGGTCACGAGCCCTTGAGCATCCCCTGGGCAGCTCCTACAGTCTCGGTTGCCTTCAGGGATGGGCATGAGCTTGTGCAGGCAGTGCTGGGCAATATGCCTGACCACAGCCACTGCACAAGGATGGGGGGTTTCTTATGCTTGTGAAATGGTAGCAAGTGCCTGGGGCTCCCTTAACTCTCCCCATGCTGCAAAAGCCATCTTGCACTGAAGCAAACCAACCTGATTTTCATCAGAGACCTGCCCATCCCCTCCTGCCCCCTAAACACAAGCACCAGCTCCGAAGGGCTGTTTCTTTGAAGCTGATTCTGCTGAAATGAGCCCCAGACCATTTCTGAGCTGAGCTGGTGGCCACGTCCCTCCCCAGGCACTTACCTTCAGTGTTTTGATGGCAGCCAAGGGTGACGCTGGGCTCTAGTGACATTTCCAGCAGGAGTCACGAGGAGTCCTTGCCACCGCCAGAGAAGCGGTAGCGACCCCCCCCCACACACACACACATCGGGGGGGATGG